GGACCAATTGATGTCACAAAAATAAAATTCCCTTCCATCAACTACATGTATCAGCAAACTGACATTTTCCGCTATGACAAAACAGGAGTATTTTCGCACCCCCAGTGTAGCTATTTCCGGAAAGGTGGTCTATTTATGAAATTGGTCTCCTTTACACTAGAGGGCGCTGTTCACATTTCATTTTGTATTGTCTGCAAAAATATCAAGTACTGGTAATAAACGCAAGATATTCACATCAGAAATTTCTTGCTACTAGCAGTTACGTTGATTTGGTACATGTAGTGATAGTTTTCAGCATCTTGCAGTGTCATTAAATTGGTAACTTTCACTGTTGCGATCATTGCAGTTGTCATAAATTTACTAGAAGGTAGATTTCAATACTTTCATCTTTTACCTGTACTGACGAGGTGATCGTTTCATAGAAAGCTTTGCGAGTCATTTTCCCAGATCATCCATAATTGTTTTGGTGGCGAACTCAACACTGGAGTTGAAGCATATATATGTACAAGGCAGAATTTGTTATGTCTAAAAAAAACCTGTAAACATCCTGCTCAATGTTCCAATTGTTAGGTGTTATGGTTGGGTAGCCAATCAGGCACAATCTTGTAGGTAGCTTCAAATTCAAGGAAATTGTTGCAAAAATGTTCGAGCCAGTTTTTACCATCATGTACCAAAAATACCCAACCTAATGTTGATTGTATTCACTAGCTTTACAAAACAGCAAACAACATAGTTACCTGTCAATAGACATGTTTAATGTGGAAAATATGACAATACAATAGGGGGCGGGGGATAAAATGACAAACTTGCAGTCACATTCAGTTATACAGAAAAACCTTCAAACAAAATCAACTAAACTGGAGTAGAATCTTGTGTCAGGAAAAACGCCAAACTTAAATCCTTAAACATTCCTAGTAAGTTGAAATTTTACATTTCTAGATATATCGGTAACTGTTCATGTTTGAATCACTGGGCACTGTCATCCTGTGCACACTCTTAGGTTAGAATGGTTTTGAGAATTCAGAAACACTGACATTTGTAAATTATAATCACAGTGAGTTCATTACTGTATTGGCTCTGTATGAACAAATAAAAAGCACTTATAAATTTTACTAAACCAAACAATTGTTTCCTTTATGTGCCTCTATTTGCTTCTAACAGAATAAATACAGTAATGCTTTATTTGTCAGAAATACACTTAAAAAAATCATTCTACAATTTGTTGTTTTCTAAAGAAAAGTTTTTTGAAGTAACACCTTTTCTAACAAATAAAATATACAACAGCTCTATTAAAAAAAAAAAAAAAAAAATCTTGTACAAAATCGACAGTGATTTCCACCCTTATTCAGTATGGGAGCAGCCAATCACAGACGTTCATCTACAGCATGTGATTAGCTACCAGCCAATCAGAATGCATTAATGGTTGGCTGTTCCAATTAGTGTCACAGCCCGACAGTAGATATTAATATAGTTCTATAAGAAGTACGGGGTTGTGGTACGGGATGGAATGACACGTTCTGAATCAGGAACAGCACGGAATAACTTTGCTTCTTTTGTATCAACATCTCGGAATGCAAGAATAGACGCTATATTACCACATCGATAACAATAATTAGGTGCAGACCAGACAGTGACAAGTTTCTCGTCAAACATGTATTTATAACCTTCGTGCACCAGCTGATGAGCTCGGCAAATTAACTTAAGATTGTTGATATTGACAAACTACAGAGAGAGAAAAAAAATAAGAAAGTTAAGAAAAAACAAAAACAAAAGAATTCATCTGTCTGTAAAATGGTGTATGGACGAGTTTGAAAGTCTTTTTATATTTAGAAAATGTGGCCATGATTACATCACATTCGAAAACTTTCCGTTGTTTACATCAAACACAGCAACAATGAAATACAATCCCGTCACTAAACATAAATGATGACATATGCACGGACACTTTTCACTGGCATTTTGGCCGTTATATCTCACTAAATTATTACTACACCCAGGATGTGGATAACAAGGTGATTTGGAGAATAACTTTCTATTATCAAATTGCTGGGCAAGATGCTGGGAGCATTTTACTCGGCACTAACACTGATGTGCTGTGACAATATAAGTTGTTATATTACACATTTATAACCTTTCAACCACCAGTTCCCTCTTTTCCTGACAAATTTATAGTCGAAATATTGAAGATGTGCAGAAAAATTTGGGCGAGAAAGTCTATTGGTCGAAAGGTTAAAGCCGTACAGTCGTCGCACCAAGTTATGTATGATACTGTGTACAATGCATATAAAATACATTGTTTATGCAAATTTCAAACATGCCCTGAATGATGACTGCAGCACATTTATAACATCAGCGAACGCCACTATTTTATCTTCATGTATGAACAACTGGTTCTTGAAAACTCACTCACATCGATTGATTTCAATTGCTAGACATCATGTGCAATTTTGAAAAATGAACATGCTTATCTGAAATCTACATCTTGTGTATTTAATGTTCATCGAATCATCGATCACGAAGAGATTAGTCTTAACTCACCTCTTGTACAACCTTTGACCCGAATAACCAGCCAGCACCTCTCGGACTGATTGCCCATGTGTCTACGTCTTCGGATCTGACCAACTAAGTCACAAAATGCACTTTATGTGGTATCTCCTGATTTCGATCTATGGTTCGGATTTGGTC